ACTCAGTGCTGCTGAGTTCCACCCCTTCCACTAGTTCTGTGCTTGTTCCTTTCTGCTGCTGAGCCAGCTGCCCTCCAACTGATGTCTGGCAAATAATGAATTTCTTTTTCTACAGTATGATCATCAAGGCTGACAGGGCAGGCTGTGTTCCTTAGGTAGTACTTGACAGACAGAAAGGTCACAGGGAAGGTGAGTGCCAACAGGTCAGTCCTTTCAGAGACTATATAGAAAGCAGTGAGAGGTGGTGACAGTGCTGTCTGGCACTGCTAGAAGAGCCAAGGTCCCTGAATTTCCAAGTTTATAACCAGCCACTCCCTGGCAGAGAACCCCCAGGTCCCTCACATGCTTGATACACACTGACACCCTGATACGCCAAATACTTCCTTCTGCTGACCCAAGCTGCCACCATCACCTAGTGATACTGAACCCTTGACCCTGGCACAGCCACACTCACCAGAGCCCTGCTCCTGAGATCTGTTCCCACCCCACTGCAGGACATTGTCCAGCCCTGGACAACTAGGAGAAGCAAGGGTCAGAGTAAGCAGGAACCATGGCCAGGTGTGGGATGAAGCAGTCCATAAAGGTCACTGTGGGTCTTTGTGGGATTTTGGCACTGTCCTTAGAGAAGAGAGAGGGAGGGCAGTGTGTGTGTGTATGCGACAGAAGGAGAGGTGTAGGGCTTTGAAGGTCCCCGTGTAACGTGACATCTTGTGACAACCACTCACTGAGGTGATGCTCTGTGATTGTGTATAGGTCTCCCAGAGCTCTGATCCAGGCCCCTCCCACCCACCTGCCATATCCAAAGAGCAGGCATCCTACCTGGACACAGATCAGAGTAAGCCACAAGTACTGGGAATTTCCAGTTACTCTAAATAGCTCAGGAAAGTGAGACTCAAACCTAGGCCTTAGATGGGGGAAAGTGGTAGAGGGGGGCTTCTGCCCTTTTCTATTCTTATCCATCCTTTCTCTCTTGGGGTCTTCAGTAGTTTTCCATGAGGGTACATGGTGCTTCCTCCTCTCACCAGTGTGGACATCTTGGGGTCCTTGGAGTCACTACACTTTGAGCCAGGACACTTCATGTCCCTCTCTCCCCAGATCTAGGAGGAGAATCCAGCAGGGGAGCCATGTCTGATGTGCCTGGCTGTGTGCCAATCTGAGCCTGAGAAAAATGCAGGTTTCAGGGCTGCACTCCAGAGCCATTAAAATGGAATCCCTGGGAACCAGGCCTGAGAATCTTCCATTTGGGGTAGCAGCTCCCTCCCATTTAACCCCTTCCTGGATTCTTATGGGCACCAGTCTGTGAGAAGTGTAGAACCGCTCCCCTGCCCACCCAGAATGGCTTACAGCTGAGGCAATCACACCTGTCATTACGGATCAGACATCCTAGATTTAAGCCTGTAACTTCCTAGCTGTGGGACTTTGGAGGGACTCTCAGCCTAAGCTTCCCCATCTGAGATCTGGGGATAGTAATCCCTGCCTCTGAGGGCCAGATGAACCTAATGTTCCCCAAAGATGCTTTGTAACAGGCACATTTCAGTACAAATGCTGTTTATTATTCAAGAACTTCAGCGCTAGGTGTAAGGAGTTAATAAATTTGGGGGGACAACTCCCCTTCTTTGGAGATTTCTCCTCCTTGTGGGCACCTGGGGGCATCTCACTTGCAGTGACCCAAGGTCTCCACCCTGCTTCCACATTTTCTTCCCAACTCATCTCTCCCATCAAAGACATGTAACTGATCTTTGTGGGCAAACAAAGGGGAGAACAGCCATGCCCTTACCCTTCACATACAGGGGCTTAGCTAGTGTCAGTTTTTGATATTGACAGAGTGGCTGTGAGTTGAGTTCACCTGTCAGGGGTAGGGGGTTGGAGAGTCAGGGAAAACTTATTAAAAACACATACACAGGATGCTGAGTCTGATTAGGAGTTGGGTGCTGGGAGGGGCCTCTGCTGGTACATTTTTTTGGGGGGGGAACACGGTAATTAGATTTATTTGTTTTTAGAGGAGGTACTGAGGATTGAACCCAGGACCTCATGCTTGCTAAGCATGTGCTCTACCACTTGAGCTATACCCTCCCCCTGCTGGTACATTTTTATCATGGTCTCCAGGTAATTTGGATTCCTTTATCACTGGGTGAGACCCACAGCCCTGGATGTTGTTATCATAGACAGGCAGTGAGGTCCTACTGGAAAAGCTCCCCCAGAAACTGCTTATCTCTGGTTTCCTTCTAGAGCAGAGGCTGAGGATGGGGTAGGGAGCAGTGAGCTGGATAGACTATGGGGACAATAACCTAGAATGACATTGACTTAGAACGACAGGAAGCAGGCCTAATGGAAAGACTTTTGAGAGTTTTGAGGTGTAGGGCAGGGGTCTCACTCATACTAGCTTTGTGGTCTGGGTCTTGACCTGTTTAAAGCCGCAGTTTCTTCATCTGTGAAATGGGGGTGACACTCAGACCTGCTCTATTCCACAGTGGTCATGAGTAGCCACTGTTTCTGAGGGGGGGTGCATTTTCACAAACATATAGATGTGTGCGTATGTGTGTAGAAGTAAGAGCAGAACAAGCATCCTGTTCTGAAACTTTTTTTTCATTCAATAATAGATCCTGGACATCTTTCCATGCCTAGATTCTGTGGTGGTAACTTGTAAACTATAAACTGCAAAACTGTTGAAACGTTGGTTGATTTAAACAGACAAAACACTACCCTTTGGGGAGGGTTGAGGGGCTGTGTCCTTATCAAGGTCCTCATTGTATATGTGCCCATGTCTTTGAGATGATAAACTGGAGGAAAGGGAGGGTTTGTGAGTACATGTGGGTGCATCAGAAGCTGGTGACCCAAGTAGGACTTGGCTGATTTTTAATAGTACGTGGCCTGGAGTGAAAAGGAAGGGACTCAATTCAAAGTCTTCAGCCCCTAGAAAGCTACCCTTAGCTGCCCCCTAGGAATCTGCCTCCTGGACAACTGGCCTTTGAAGAGCTCATACTTGGGACTTAGGCAACAAGGAATGGGTGGCACAGAGGATATATTAAGGAATATCTAAGCTACTATAACAAAGAAGCCCCAGATACAGAGGCTAAACGGGATAGATGTCTATTCTTTTTCACATAACAGCCTATATTCTGTCACAATTGAGAGCAGATTCTGGAACCAGATTGCCTGCAGTCAAATCCTACTTTTTGTGACTTCACTCAACCTCTCTGTGTCTGTTTCCTCACTTGTGAAGTTGGGATGTTAATAATGACATAGTAATTCTACCTTATAGGGTTGTTGTGAAGATTAAATGAGTTGTCCCTCCAAAAATTTCTTTATTGAGTGCCTACTATGTATCAGTCACTGTTAGAGGCCCATGGTGGCTGCCATCAATGGGCTCAAATTGGCTGCTTGGGCTCCTGCCATCATGTCTGCCTTCCTGTCAGTGGGAAGAAGGAAAGGGCAAGAGGCACACGTACCCATTTCTTTTAAGTTCATAACTTAGAAGTGGCCTACAGCTGAGCTCTTCATAGCCATCAGTCAGAATTCACCTAAGCATCAAGGATGCTGGGAAGTATAATCTTCAGGTGTGTGATCACATGCCAGCTAAAACTCAGGTATGCGAAAAAAAGAAGGGGAAACCCACACACCTGTGGTCAAGTAATCTTCAACAGAGGAGGCAAGTACATACAATGGAGAAAAGACAGCTTCTTTGGCAAGTGGGGCTGGGAAAGCTGGACAGCCGTATGTAAATCAACGAAGTTGAAACACTCCCTCACACTATATACAAAAATAAACTCAAAATGGCTTAAAGGCTTAAGACGGAACACCATAAATCTCCTAGTAGAGAACACAGGCAAAACATTCTCTGACATAAATTGTAGCAATGTTTTCCTGGGTCAGTTTACCACGACAATAGAAACAAAAGCAAAAATAAACAAATAGGATCTAATTAAACTTACAAGCTTTGGCATAGCAAAGGAAATCGTAACAAAGTGAAGACAACCTACAGACTGGGAGAAAATATTTGCAAACAATATGACTGACAAGGGCTTAACTTTCAGAATATATAAACAGCTCATACAACCCATTAACAACAACAAAAAACAACCCAGTCCAAAAATGGGCAGAAGACCTAAACAGACATTTCTCCAATTAAGACATACAGATGGCAAATAGGTACGTGAAAAGATGCTCAGCATCACTAATTATCAGAGAAATGCAAATCAAAACTACAATGAGGTATCATCTCACACCAGTCAGAATGGCCATTGTTAAAAAATCCACAGACGATAAATTCTGGAGAGGATGAGGAAAAAAGGGAATCCTCCTGCACTGTTGGTGGGAATGTAGTTTGGGGCAGCCACTATGGAAAACAGCATGGAGATTACTTAAAAAACTACAAATAGAGTTAACATATGATCCAGCAATCCAACTCCTGGGCATATGTCTGGAGGAAACTCTAATTTGAAAAGATACATGCCCCTAAATGTTCATAGCAGCACTATTTACAATAGTCAAGACATGGAAGCAACCTAAATGTCCATTGACAGATGACTGGATAAAGAAGATGTGGTATATATACATAATGGAATACTACTCACCATAAAAAGGAATGAAATAATGCCATTTGCAGGATCATGGATGGACTTAGATATTATCATACTAAGTGAAGTAAGTCAGAAAGAGAAAGACAAATATCATATATCACTTATATGCAGAATCTAAAAATGAGACAAATGAACTTATTCACAAAACAGAAACAGCCTCACAGACATAGAAGACAAACTTGTGGTTGCCAAAGGGGAAAGCCAGGAGGAGTAAATTAGGAGTTTGGGATTATCAGATACAAACTGCTATATATAAAATAGATAAACAACAATGTCCTACTGTATAGCACAGGGAACTATATTCAACTGCTTGTAATAACCTATAATGAAAAAAGAATATGAAAAAGAATATATCCATATGTATCACTATGTTGTACACCAGAAACTAATACAACATTGTAAGTCAACTATACTTCAATTAAAAAAAGATAGAGAGTCTAGGGTAGGTTTCAAAGGGGATGAGAAACCCCCTCCCCAAACTGGATGCAAAAAAAAAAAAAGCCTGAGCGTTAAAAACTTAATAAATTAAAAGTTGTTTTTCAAACCAAAAAAGGAAGGAAGGAAGGAAGGAAGGAAGAAAGAAAGAGAGAGAAAGAAAGAAAAGAAAGAAGAGCAGATATTGGTAGAAAACTAGCATTTTCTTCTCTGTTCCTGGGGACAGTTGCATCTTCCTCATACACAGCCCCCGAGGAAGACAGTGACAGAGGGAAGAGTTAGAGGGAACCTGAGAAAAAAGGCAGTAAAGGGATCATTTAAGAAAGGCAGTCCTTGAGACAGGGATAAGGAGATAGGAGGGCAGAAACCAAGACCTGGGGCCACCAGCTTGTGTCCAGGATCCGGGGTCAAGGAGATGTCCTGGAGATGGTGAACCATTTTTATGCTTTTGGATCTTCTTGTGTATTTCCTTCCACTCCCTCTGGGTTCTGAGTAAAGGTCTGTGGACTTCTGTGCTGGGGAAAAAGGTGCGTTATTTTTTGTGCTAGCCTAAGCTTAAGAGGAGGAAGACTGAGAATAATGTTGGAGGACACTTGTGGGAGCCCTGGCCACTCAAAGTGAAATCAGCCACAGACCAGAAAGAAGTGGTTCAGGGTTTCCATACCAATGGCATAATGCACTGAGATGCCCGAGGGTCCTAGGAGAAGCAGCTGACAGGGATGCCCCGGCTGGGCAAGTCTGCACCTGACATGCGGGATGCTGTAAAGGGTGGCTGTGAGTGGCCACTGATGGAGCTGGGGACTTGAGGGTATACGAACAGTGTGATAACACTGAAAACTAGGGATCTTCATCGTACTCACCACCTTAACCTGTTGTCTGGCTGTATTTTCTCTGTATCCCTAAGCTTAAAGGAGCCTCTAGACCTGGCATTCTTAACCCAGTGTCCAGAATCCCCTGCAGCTGGGGGCACAGGTGTGCTTAAGTGTGGAGTTTTTTTTTTTTGAATAGTGATGGCATCACGTATTGTTATCAGATTCCTAAAGGGTCCGTGGCCCAACAGAAGGCAACAGCATTGATTTCTTTCTCTTTTCCTTTTATCTGTTGGGAAGAAACCACCTTGATTTGATTTCAAAACTCCTGTGACTGTGCCTATAAATGTGTTTGTATAAGTAAGTTTAAGGATGAGCAGGAATTCCATAGCCCCTGTCCCTGGGAGGACAATCAGGATATGGCTGAAGTTTTGGCCAGTTTTCTCTCCTGCAGATCCAGCTGGAGAGGGAGGTCAGAGGGAGGGAGCATACTGGGTGGAGAAAGACAAATGGAGACTCTGGACTTGGCAAGTGGAGCCAAGATCCAGCTGGCCTTTTTCTTTTCTTCAGCTTTAACCTTCTGTGAATCTGGATTCCATGAGACAGGAGAATTCAGGCAACAAATTCTTTAGAAGCACATGGTGGGCTTTCAACATATAACTGTTGAATGACTGAATGATTGAATAAATAAAGCAAAAATGGTTTCATGAAGAGTACAGCCATGATAATAAAAAACAGGAAAACACAATCTTTGTAAGTCATCTGAAACTCTTGACAGGAGCCTCAGTCATTTCAAAAAGTAGTTTCGCTGTGTGCCGAGACCCTCACATTCAATCCCCAGAACAACCTTGAGGCATAGACATTGGGAGTCACAATGCCCATTGAGCAGATGGGGACATGAGGCAGGGGGCTAAGGCACAGCCCAGTGTAGCAGTTTGCGGGTGATCAGAACCAGACCTTCTTCCTGGAACCACAGAGCCCATGCTCTGCTTTTCTCACTGGACCACTCCAGTGAGCTTGCCCCTCTACTTAGGTCCTGGTGAGGTTGGGAATCCTGTCTTCAGGTTGCAGCCTCCCTTTCAGCATCTCTTCTCTTCTTCCCAGGTGAACTGTGATGCCCATTTCTCCAGCCTCTTGCAACTCCGAGTGTGGCCCTTGGACCAACTGGGAGCCAGTTAGAATAGCAGAAGCTCAGCTCCACCCAGCCTGCTGAGTCAGAATCTGCATTTTAACAAGATTACCCTGAGTGATTAGTGTGCACCTTGGAGTTGGAGAAATTCAACTCTAGGTCTCTCTCTGCCATCCACAGGTGAGGGAAAAGCCTTGCTAACCTTATTTGTAGGAAGCCACCTCCTCCGGGATGCTGGGGCAGGGATGCCTGTTTCATTCAAGACCTGCAGCCTCTCTGGTGTTACTTCAGATTTCCTAGGACATCTTCCTCCCAAACCTTCCCTCTCCTTCCAACCAGAAAGCCAGACCTTCCTGCCCTCCCTGCACAATCCCTGCATTACCTTAAAAAATTTTTTTTTTAATTCCAGAATAGTCTTAAGTTTACAGAGAAGTTGCAAAGGTAGTAGAGTTCCCATATACCCTCATCACACAGCGCCCCCTATTGGTAATGTCTTACATGTCCGTGGTGCATTTGTCCCAACTAAGCAAACAATACTGGTATATTACTACTAACTGAACTCCCCTGTATTCAGTTTCATTAGATTTTCCACTAATGTCCCTTTTCTATTCTAGGATTCCATCCAGGATACCACATTAAATTTAGTCATCACATCTTCTTAGTCTCTTCTGGTCTGTGAGAGCTTCTCATGATTTCCTGGAGTTCTTAATGCCCTTAACTGTTTGGAGGAGTCTGGCCAGGTATTTTGTAGAATGTGTCTCAATTCGGGTTTGGCTGGTGGTTTTCTCATGGTTAGACTGGAGTTATGGGTTTTGGGAAGAAGATGGTACCGGTGAAGCGCCCTTCTCATCCCACCATGTGGGGGGACATGTAATCAACATGACTCATCACAATGATGATAATTCCGATCACCTGGCTGAGGTCCTGCCTCACCTAACCTTCCCTTTCTTCTTCCCCCAAGTCCCTATAGTTTCCTGCTTGGTAGTGTGTCATTGTTTTAGTGGTTAATGATATGTTTGTACTTCAATGTCTCCCCCACCCCTCTCTAGTGCATTCCTCCCTAGGCCACTTAGGTTGTTTCTCTGATGCTTTTGTTACTGACAAGGTGTGTTGTTGGAACACATCCTCTGCCAACAGAAGCACTGAGGCAGTCACGTGTCTCCTGCCAGCATGAAGCCTAAAAGCTCAATGGAAGTTGCCCACGGGGGTCTAAAGGCAAACAGGAGGCTGGGCCTTCAACAAGCCGAGATATGTTCCAGCTGTTTAGGAAAGTGTTTTCTACTCAAGTTGAAGGAGAAAAATCAGACTTAGATTAGAAAGTGATGGGGAGCAGGGCAATGCTGGATGTGTGGGGGAGGGAGGTAGCCAGACATGCCTGAGTGTTTGCATTTTTTTATATTTTATTCTAAATTCTAAATGATCCCTTTGGATTATGTTAGGCTGTAATTATGTGCTTCTGCTTTAACACAAGCCAGTCATATTTTCATCTGAGAATAGCAGCACTGAATGGGACACATCCTGCTATTCTTCCCACTTTGAGACTTCAGTCTGCCTGTGCTCCATGAGGTGCCCCCCATCCCCGCCCTACATCCAGGGCTACCTGTTGCCAAGTAATTAGGGCAGAGGGAGAGTTAAAGACATACTACAAGGGGTCCACCAAGCAGACTAGGTGCTCAGGAAAGAACACTCTGGCCTCTGGGTGGAACTGATATCTTTAGAGTCCTAAGTGCAAGGGTGGGAGAAGTGCCCAAGATTCATGCTGACCTGCCTCAGCCTCTGCAGCCCTACCTACCACCCCCAGTGAAAACTGTACAGTCATGTTCAATTTCCAAAATTCTCCATTCAGTGCTAAGTCTGTATGGTTCCAGGATTGTCCAGAGATGGTAAAATATTGGTACTCGTCCTTCCTGAAAGGGCAAGTTATGATCAACAGTCATGTGCATGCCAGGGGGGAGTCTGCTTATGGAATGCTCTGTAGGAGTCTTAGCCATCCTACGAAGGATGCATGATGGGTTCAGACGATATGTTACTGGCCAGTTCTCCTTCAGTGGTGGCTGTGGGTAGCGGCAGGGGGAGACTGTCAGCTGCTACCACCATGAATGCTAGTTGCTCACAGGAGAGCCATCGAGGAAGACTTTTCTCCATACTCACTGAGGAAGAACTGGCCTCTGATCCAGCTAGACATGCCCTTGAGCCACACACCTTCTGATAGGGAGGTGAGGGGCAAACAGGCACCCAAGACTATGGGCAGCTGTTTTAGTCAACTCTGTTTGATGGCAGTGAATGGAAACCCGCTCAGAGTAGCTTGATATAACCTGGCTAGTAGAGGACTCCTCTTTGAGCCTTCCCCGGAGGTGGACTGCAGAAGCTGGGGTACAGTGTGCCCCCCACTCCACCAGACATGGCTGATTAAAGCAGAGCAGATACTGACCCAGACTGAGCCTGCTAGAGCCTTTCCCCTGATTTGGACAGGGCCAGAGAGTGAACAGGACATCTGACTGAAGATGTACACTCTGAGGCCATGAAGCAGACATGCTCAGCTTCGTGTACATAGAGAACTGAATGAACCCAGAGAGAGAAGGCTTCTAGGCCTGGCTTCTAGGCCCTCCTGGGTCCCAGGTGTGACACTTGTTCCAGGGTTCCAGGAGACACCTAGCCTTAGAATAACTACCCTTTTTGCCTACATTAGCCTGGGTAGGTTTCTGTCACATACCCCAGAAAAGGCTAAGACAGAGGATACTGTAGGAATTCAGAGAGTATCACAGAAAGGAAAGGTGGGAAGCACAATGGGACTCAGGAATTTAAAAAATCATGTGTCTTTCAATCTGCCCATATGGTTCCTTTTCTTGCCTCTATTTTTCTTAACAGAACAGTTTTCTTTTTTGTTTCCATCAATGAATCTTCAACCAAATGTTTACTCCAGACCTGAATCCACACAACTTTTCAGTTTCAGCCATTGGATTGTAATCTCTGCATCTAGTTAAAATATGGGGGATAGGGAGAGCGAGAGGAAGAGAGAGAGAGATTCTGCTTAGCCTGGAGGACAAGAGGTTTAACACAGTGTATTAATCAGGAATTTTTTTTTCTTTAAAGAAGAGACAGAAGTCCATCTCTAAGTAGCTCAAGAGAAGCAGCAATGGATTAGTTCATGTAACAGACATGAACAGACTGGAAAGGACTTCAGGAACAACTGGATCCAGAAACACCAACAATGTCACTGGGGCTCTGCCCCTCTCTGTGTTGGCCTCGTTCCCTCTTATTGGACCTCTACGTGGGATATGGGGAAGACTGACAACTCTAGACTTATATGACTCCAGAGAAAATAAAGGCCTTCTGTCTCCTGTTACCTGTATGCAAAATTTCAGTTAAGGAGCTGATGACCCAGTTTGAGTCACACTCCCTCCCTTTGGTTGATCACTGTACCCAGGAGAGCAAGGATTATGTGATGGCAGCCTCTCAGTGCCCACATGGAAGGGAGGGAGATCCTTTAAAGAACAGAGCTGGTTGGGAGGGTCCACTGTGCATGGTCTGCAGTGTGACCCCTTTCAGGGACCAGGGGTGTGGCAGATAAACCAGCAGGGAAGCTGGGTGAGAAAGAGGGCAGTACTGGCAGAGAAGACAGTCCTCTTTTGTCTTCCTGATCAGCGCTCCCTCAGAGCCCTATCTTTGCAGATCTGAATCATTCTGCCAACAGCCCTTTGGCCTCCTTTATGTTTTCCTGGAAATTCAGCCTCCTGTTGTAACTCATTCTGCCTGGGCTCAGCCTCCTGGCTCTTGGACCCTTGCTTACATTCTGGAGGAGGATTCTGACAGCTGGGCTCTGAGCAAGAGCCTGTAACTCTCCCTATGGGTTAGTACTGCTGACAGGACTGCAGACCTTGGCTCACAGGGGCCACTGGGGCCAGAGGAGGTCAGTCTATGGAGGAAACGTTCGTGCCTGGTGCAGCATCACTGGCCCAGGCATTAGGCCTGGAGAATCCCAGGTTGAGCTGACTTCCGTCCCATGGAGGGCCTTAAGAGTGAATAGCCCTTCTAGCAGCAATTATAAGTGCCTCTCTGTGTTGATTTCTGTCATCCCCAAGTCTTAAGCAAAGTTTTGTTAAATGCTAACAATAATAGAAAGACATTAAAGGTCAGAGGCCTGCAGGCAAACCCTGCCTTCAAAACTGAGACATGGGGAGACATCCGGATTACTTCACAACTCCAGTTGTCTCTCAAACAAGTCTGTTCAGACATCTTTAAATATGCATTTTATCACTTCTCCCTGCCAGAGTGTTGACACTCAGGCTGGCTTTCCCTGGGCTGACTGATGCCTCAGCCGGTGTGTGTAACACCTTCCTGGTACTCGGGGGCGCAGGCATCACCAAGAGGCAGGAGGATGAGCCAGAGGGGCATTCCTGCTTCTCAATCAGTGCCTTTTCTGTTTGCAAATCGCTCAACACCAACTACTTAATACATGCGGACAAATCTGTCCAGACTCTCAAAAGGTACAATTCTTAGGGGTGAGGAAAGAGGAAGGACTGTCTTCCCCATACCCTTCGGCCATCTCCTCCTATTCCCACTTCTCAGCTCTGGCCAGGAAGATTCTGTGAGTGGATACAAAAATGGAAGCTTTGGGATTTCAGTGAAGCCAGATGATGGGTGAGGACCTCGGGTTTCACTGCGAGCAAGGGGTTATGCTGTCTTTGGGACCCACTGTCCCGCAAAGGTATCCAACTAGCATCCAACAAGGTCTAAATCAGTGCCAGGTTGTGTTAATTCAGTAACTCTCTTTTAATTTCTTTTTTATTTTGAAAAAGCTTAAGCCTACAGAAAAGTTAAAAAACACCATAATAAACTCCCAAATGACCTTTACCAAGATTCACTGAAAACTAGTATTGCTACATTAGTTTCATTGTCCCTCTCTTTTACACACACACACATACACACACACACACACACACACACAGATGTAATTATTTTAGTATTATTTTTTTCTGAAATATTTGAGGATAAGTTTCAAATGTCATATCCCTAAATACTTCAGTGGCACATCTCTCTTGAGAACAAGAATATTTTCTTACATAACCTTAGAATAACTACCAAATTAAGGAAATGTCATTAATACACAGAATTATCTATATATAGTCCATATTCAAATTCTGCCCTTTGCCCCATATTGTCTTGTTATAGCATTTTTTTTTTCTGATGCAAGATCCAGTCCAGTGTTACAGGTTGTGGCTAGTTGTCATGCCTCTTTAGTCTTCTTTAATCTATAAAAGTTTTTCTCATTTGTTTTGCCTTTTATAATATTGACTCTTTGGAAGAGTTTGGATGTCTGATAGTTTTCTCATGGTTAGATTCACTTTGTGCATTTAGATAGGGAATCTAACCATGAGTGACACTGTGTCCTCCTTGGCGCATCTGTCAGGAGGCACAGGGTGTCATGTGGTCCCATTGTTGGTGATGTTAACTTTGATCACTTGGTTAATCTGGTCTCTGTCAGATCTATCATTTATAAAGGTTACTTTTTTCCCATTGAAATTAATAAATGTGGGGAGATACTATGAGACTATCCTTTTCCCCCATAAATTGCCCAGTAGTTTTAGCATCCATTGATGATTGATGATTCTTTCCTGCATTAACAATTACTATGACAGTTGCAAAATGGAGTTGACTACTTTTAACATCTAGAACCAGCTGCTGTTTATTATCTCATTTTACAGATTAAACCACTGAGGGTCTGAAGGTCAAGTAACTTTTCCAAGGCCACATAGCAGTGAGGTTCATACTTAGGCCTGTCTGATTCCAGAGCCTGTGTTTTTGCCCTTCTCCTATCCTCCCGCCATGCTGCCCCGCCAAGCCACCAGCTGTGGGCGGGGATGAGATGTTCTCTCAACCTTGTCTGCCCCACTGAACACTCTCTTTCCTTGCTCCTTTCCCTAAATTTGAGGCTGAGGCTCTGGTCACAGTTGGATGGAAAGAAATGGACCACTGGGTCATTTTTGCAACCTCCTCCATGTCCCAGCCTTCCCCTCTTTGTCCCCTCGTGATCCTTCCACAACTGGGATATCCAGAGCAGAAATCTCACCAAGAAGTCACCTCAAAGGGGAGAGGGATACAGATACAAACTGTTATACATAAAATAGATAAGCAACAAGGACGCACTGTATAGCACAGGGAATTACACCCATTATCTTGTCATAACCTATAGTGGAGTATAATCTGCAAAAATACTGAATCACTATGCCACACACCTGAAACTAACACAATATTGTAAACCAACTATACTTGAATAATAACAAAAAAGAAGTCACCTTAATTATTCTGCTCCTTTTCCCAACACACATACATCCCACAGCTAAGAGGCACTCTCCTCCCCTGATCTTGAAGAAGGAGATTATGTGTGGTATGAACTGAACTTTGCAAGGTGCGTGAGAAGCGTTCATGATTGGAGGAGGGGCAGAGGCAGAGCTATAGGGCAAATGCAGTGTCACATGTGTGTGAGTGAATGTGTGTGTGGACAGTTGGGAGTTCTAAAAGGGAGAAAGAGGAGAGAGGGAGAGAGTATAGGTGGTGCTTAAAATCACCGATCTGGAGTCAGAATGCTGGAATTTGAACCTAGGTCCACCATCAACCTGTGTAACTTAGGGTATGTTATTTAACATCTCTAGGCCTTGCTTTTGTCATCTGTAAAAAGGACATAATAGAACCTACCTCATGAGGTTGTGAGGATTCAGTGAACTAATCCATGGAAAGTGCTTTGCGGGTGAGATTTGGTCCGTCAACCATGGGGGTGTGTTGAGGAGGAAGATGATGTAGGTGGCGGTGTGCAGCGGAGGAGCCTTGAAAGGCCCTGGCCCCAGGACAGTGATCACATGAGGAGAGAACCAGTCGTTGATCACTGGAGAGGCTGAGGGTGAGACTGAGGCAGGAAGGGGCTGGGAGGGCTGGATGACTCACTCACTCACTTGTTTACACTTATCTCACCTGCTTCCAGAAAGGCTTTGAAGTAATTAAAGCCTCAGGTGTCTCAGCCTGCAGAGACCGGAAAGACCATGTCCCAGCTGGAGCGTGGCTTGGGCAAGGCAGGCACAGCGTGGCAGGTCTGGGGCTCACCCGGAGCTGGAGGAGGGCTGGCTTCTGCAGCGCTAAGGGGAGGATGGCAGGAGGAGAGGCAGAGGGAGGAAAGCCAGACTGAGCCCCACTGACCACCAGCCCAGATGGCCAGAGAGGCTGGAGGCTGGGAGTGTCCATTCTGGACAAAGGGAAGTGGGAGGAGGCCCTGAGGGGGCCACTAAGATGGGCTTCCAGAAGGGCTCAGAATCTGGCTGTGCGCATTTCCGGGATTTGCTCAGTTGCTGTCTTGGTGCTTAGACCACCCTGTTGGATATTCTTGTTGGCCTGTCCTGGGCCCTCCAGCTGCCCCAAGGTGCAGGCCCTCTCCACCGGGAACCACCAACTTCTCATCTCTGGAGGGAGGGCCTTTCCTCTGGGGTCCAGGTGCCTCTGGCCTCAGGCTGAATCACTCGTTGGAGGAAATCCTGTCCTCCCTCACCTGCCTCCCCCACCCCCGCCCCTCCCACCCTCCTCTCCACTCCTCCCCTACCCCATCCCCCACAGCTGAGTTGAGTCCCACCCTCCCCACCCTCCCCACCCTAATGCAGTGGGATATCCTGAGGGTCTGCGGCCTTTGGCAGCTGTGAGGAGAAATTTCCTGCCCCCACCCACTGGGAGCCCTTCTTTCTCAGGCCAGCTCAGGTCTGAGCTTTGTCTGCCCCTCCCCCACACTGTTTTCTGCCTCTTACCTTGAACATCCTGACTTGCCCCAGCCTCCCCTCAGCTCAGGTTTCCTTTGGGGGCACATGGATGGCGTCCCCACATTACACCAAGTTTTGGCAAGTCCAGCCCAACTCTGACAGACTTTCTGTCACACTTCCCTACAGCCACTTAATCCACACGTTACCATGTAATGGAATACCTTCCATTTAGGAAGGTGGAGGAGGTCTCCCCTAGGCGAGATTACACATGATGACAGTTCCTAAAGGTAGGGGCTGGAATTCAGGCTAAAAGGGTAAGGCCACAAGACTGGGATGGGGGGGGGCGGGGGTGACAATCAGAAGTTACAGAGCCAGGGTCTGCCAGCCTAAGGTTGTGGGCTGCCCCAGCAGCAGTGGAAAGGAGGAAAGCTGGGGGCTCTGCTCCCACAAGGATTCCCACCTCCTCTTTGTTCAGCAGAAGAAAACCTGCCCCTGAATCAAGCTGGGGGGCCAGGCAAACAAGGCGAGAGGGAGCTCGGCTCCTTTGCCCTCTTTGGCTTCTCTTTGGTCATTTGGGGGCTACTCAACATTTATACCCCCTTCCTAATAGCATCCTATTTCCTTTGGAGGACTGTTTTAAAATGTACCCTGGATTATGTCTTTATTCAGATGTGATGAGGCCAGCTGATCAAGAGATGACTGCCAGTGCAAATATAATTTATCACTCATAGTTCCCAAGAGGAGGGGGCATGCCTGCCCCACGGGGCCTCTTGGGGAAGCAGCACGGTCAGCCAGGAGGTGGGGGCATGGGCACAAGCCTTATCGTGGTTTCTGTGAAACAGCCAAGGCAAGGGAGGGCAAGCAGATGTAGAATTTGCAAATTTGAATGATTTCAGCAGGCTCTGGGCTATAGGGAGGTCTGTAGTTGTCTGGTATCTGGTCCTGGGATGATTAGGTCAGAGGGATATTGTCTCCATCTCCTGGAGTGTAAGAGCCAAGAGAAGATGGTTTGGAGTAGGGGCTCTGGATTGGTTGGTTTATATAAGAAAGACATGCTTCCCGTTTTGCGATCTCTAAGAACGGGTTAACCCTAAGACAAGCAGTCTTTCCCAGTCAATAAGGCCCCAGCTACCAGAGTATCAAGAATGTAGAAAGTAAAAAATCATAATACAGGGACTTAGTCCAGTGATATCAGATAGTATATTGGTGGGATGGTAAATGCAGGCATTCTTTCTCCATTGACAAAACCAGAGAGATGAGAGTGAAGCCAGAATGGTGGGCGCAGTTTCTGTGTCTCATAGTTATTTTTAAGCAACTGAGAACTTAACCTTTCACAATGTCAAAAAGACCATCTTATGCCCCAGCTCCTGCAACACAAATGCGCAGCACACCATAGAGTCAGCTTGCCCACTAGAGGCTGGGGGGAACCCTGGGCACTAACAGCCAGGTCATGGTGTCCTCTGGTATCATGATTCAAAACCCCAAAGATAAAGCACTAGTGCCACCCATGAGGGCTGGCAGAAAAGTCTGGGACCAAGTGAAGGCTTCTTACCCTGACCTAACACTGTGGGAAGTTGGCAAGATTGTTGGTGGCATATGGCAAGATCTCACTGACGAAGAGAAATAAGGATATTTAAACAACTATAAAGCAGAAAATATAGAGTAGAGTGAATTTATGAAGGCCTGTCATAATCCCCCTAAATCCTTCCTTACATAAGTGAAAAAAATCAGACAGGAGCTGCTTTAGAGGAAGAAACAATCTCACATAGAGAAAAAAGAATCTTACAAGAGCATACAGCCTGCTAAAGATCCAGAGGATTATGATGATGGCTTTTTAATTAATTAATTAGACTTTTTTAGAGCAGTTTTAGGTTCACAGTGAAATTGAACATGAAGCACAGAGAGTTCCTGTATACCCCTTACCCCCACCTCACTTCCACAGTCTCCCCGTCACTATCAGCGTCCCCTACTTTTTTACAATTGGTGAGCCTGCACTGAGACATCATCATGGCCCAAAGATCATAGCTTACAGTAGGGTACACTCTTTTGGTGTGAACCCCATTCCATGGGTTTTGACAATTGTATAATGTCATGTATCTACAATTATTATATCATATAGAATGGTTTTTCGACTCAAAAAATTCCCTGCGCTCTGCCCGTTCATCTCTCCCTCCTCTCTAACCCCAGGCAACCACTGATCTTTTTACTGTCTCCAAAGATTTGCTTTTTCCATAATGTTATATAATTGGAATCACCTAGTATGTAGACTTTTCAGATTGGCTTCTTTCAGTAAGTAATATGTATTTAAGTTTCCTCCACGTCTTTTCACGGCTTGGTAGCTCATTTCTTTTTTGGTGCTAATGATATTCCATTAACTGAAGGTACGACAGTTTACTTATCCATTCACCTCATGAAGAACATCTTGGTTGCTTCCAAGTTTTGACAATTATGAATAAAGCTGCTACAGACATCCATGTGCAGGTTTTTACATGGACATACATTTTCAATTCCTTTGGATAAACACCAAGGACCATAATTGCTGGACCATATGGTAAGAGTATGTTTAGTTTTAGAAGAAGCTGACAAACTGTCTCCAAAGTGGCTGTACTATTTGGCATTCCCATCAGTGATAAATGAGAGGTCCTGTTGCTCCAAATCCTTGCCGACATTTGGTGTGTCAGTGTTTTGGGTTTGGCCACTCTAATAGGTGTGCATTAGTATCTTGTTTGAATTTGCAATTCTCTAATGACGTACAATATTAGGCATATTTTCATATTGCTTATTTTCCATCTGCATATCTTCTTTGGTGACCTTCTTTTCAGATCTTTTGTGTTTTAATCAGATTGTTCACTTTTTTACTGTTGAGTCTGAAGAGTTGTGCATTTTAGATAGCAGCCTTTTATCAGACATGTCTTTTGCAAATATTTTCTCCCAGTCTGTGTCTTGTCTTCTCATTCTTTGGTAATGTCTTTTGCAGAGCAGAAGTTTTTAATTTAAACAAAGCCCAGCTTATCAATTATTTATTTCATGGGTCATGACTTTGGTGTTGTATCTAAAAATTCATTGTCAAGTTCACCTAGATATTCTCCTATCTTATCTTTTGTTGATGGCTTTTCAATGAAGCATACAGAATTATCTCTTTCCAGAGAAACCACCACCTCATCAGTATGACGCTTAGTGAGAGTGTGGTGCCAGACTTACAGTCAGTTATCACAACAGCTAGAAGGCAGGTCCTCAAACTACAGGTCTAGGTCTTAATAGTTCATCAGCAAAAACTAGAAGCTGAACTTTTTCAAATAGAGGAGCAACACCAGGACAAGAAAAGGAGATTCCTGTAAAGGACAGATTCATTTAACCGTGAACTCCAAAGGTCGTACCATTTGAAGGTAAAAGTGGATCTGGAGAAAATCACAGCTGAAATGGCACAGGCAGAGGAACAGGCCTAAAAAGGCAGAGAAGGGGAGAAAGAGGCAGCAGAGCAAGCTGACCTCGGTCCCAGCAGTATCGTTCCTGTGCAAGAGCAAGGAGCTAATAAAGCCATTTTAGCAGATGTCACTAAAGTGTGTTGAGAAAGGGCCCCTTCTACTCCCTAGTTCCTATATGTGTTCAGTGGACTAGTGGCGATCCCAGGCCAGGCCCACTCCTCAGCTAGAAGGGGTTTGGTAGGCAGTTAGCCAATGATCATTCAATACACCACACATAGGCCTTGATGTCTGGAGCACACATATCATCCCCTCTTATGCACAGTAATAACTGCTGGTGAAGCACCAAATGTTTAGAAAGTAGTTTAAGGTTTTGGAAAGAGAGAGGATGATGGGGAGAATGTCTGGGCTGCAAACTCTGACGAGCCAACTACCACGTAAGGAATTCAGAGCTGCTGCACACTCCCAGGAAAACCCACTGAAAAGTTTGTCTCTGTAGCCACCTTAGAGAAGGTTCATTCATTCAGTCAATGGCTCCATGTCAGTTCTGTGTCACGGGTTGGGGCACAACTGGAATAAGAGATTCAAGGTCTAATCTAGTCCAAAACAAATAGATGTCTTGGTTCTGAAGTCAGACCAAAATAACAGTGGCTTGAACAAGAGAGAAAGGTACCTCTTACTCACGTAAAGGTTCAGAGTTAGAGAAGCCAGGGTTGATGCAGAAATTCTGCTCCATGAAGTCTGCAGGGACTGTATCTACTAGGGTTCAGAGAAGAAGAACCACTATATCATGTGATCAATAATTTATTATAGAAATTAGACTTTATTCAATCATTGGAGGTGCTAGAGAAGTAAAGATCACAAAAGGGAGCTGGAGGATCGTGGGAAAGTCACTACTTAGGCATTGAGAAGCACAGATTGTGTGTATGCTGGGGGACAAGCCAGAGCTCCCAGGGAAATA